AGAGAGAGAGAGAGAGAGATACTGTAGATAGATATAGATAGATAGATAGATAGATAGATAGATAGATAGATAGAGATAGATAGATAGATAGATAGATGATAGATAGATAGATAGATAGATAGATAGATGATAGAGATAGATAGATAGATAGATAGATAGATAGATAGATAGATAGATAGATAGATAGATAGATAGATAGATAGATATAGACAGACAGACAGACAGACCGTAACTGTAGATAGATAGACAGACAGATTTTTTTTTATTCGTTCTTTTGCATCAAGAGGCTTAAATTTATTTCATTCTTTTGCATGAAACGGCTTGCATTTATTTATTCGTGCCCTTCACAGAAAAGCAGCTGCGAAAGCCTGGGGGGAAAAAAATGCGAAACCCTTTTTGAAGTTATTTGCTCTAGGAACATCTTGAAAATAGCACTGATGAGTCTAATTTATGGCCACTTTCTCTGATTGAGGAAGAAAACGGCGTATTGATCCAGCCCCTGCCTTTCACCTGTTAAGAGCTTTCTTCCTAATTGGACATCCGAGCCCTGCCAAAAACTCTGCCCTCTCCCAGCGCACAATAGCAGGTTTAAGTAACGTCCAAACCAGGCCTATTTTTCTTCCCGGCTATTGATTTTTCAAATGAAGTATCAAAGAAAATCAATAGTAATCAACAAATAGAAGCTCATCGGCCGGAGTGTCAAATCCCCGGGCTGGGCTTTAATCAATTTTGTTGCCTGCCACAACGAAGAAAGTTAGAAATATCTTAAAAGGGAAAGTGAGTTGTCAGACCCGCCATTCGTCAACGGGCTAAAAAAAAAAAAACATGTGACAGTTGTGGATTGTCGTAGTTTCAGAGTTTGGGGGTTTCCGCTGCCGATGATCCGAGCTTCAACCCCGACTTTATTAAGATTCCTTCCACTTAGTCGAAATCCAGACTCAGCAATAAAATTCTGGCATGGTGAAAAAGAATCCTGTTGAATCACCATTTTGCTCTTTTAGGGGGTGACTGTTTTTTTTTTAAAGTTGAAATTTATTTTACAGGTAGTCCTCAACTTACAACAATTCATTTAGTGACGGTTCAAAGTTATGATGACACTGAGAACAGTGACTTGGGACCGTTGTTTTTTTTTTTCACACTTACGTGTCAGGATTGACCCCCAATTAAATCATGAGTCTTGAGCCAAACTTCCAAAACTTCAGAAGGATTTATTGGGAGTAAACATGCCGACGCTGCCTGGGTGTAGCTGACTCTGAGACACCTAATTCATGGTCACCTTTGACCCTAGTTTCCCCCACCCCACCCCCTGGGTGTATTGTAATTCATATTCTCCAATGGGACACATCCCTAGCCCAGAGTCATCAATCATGCTCTCCAGTTAGAATTTTGTGTGGCAGAAACTTCAGTCACCTAGTTACTATCTTTGAAAAACTATTTATGGAATGCACTTTTGGTTTCCAAGCTGCCGCACTGCTCTTTCAAACCCCTTTCCCCCCCCCCTCCCTTTCTGTTGGCAACTCTAAAAAGGCCATAGAAATATTTTATGAGTTGACATTAACGATTGTTACGGCATCCCCATGGTCACCTGATCAAAATTCGGAGGCTTGGCCACTGGCTCGTATTTACGATGGTCACAGCGTCTTTGAGGTCACATGATTCCCCTTTTGCGACCTTCAGACCAGCCAAGTCAACGGAAGGAAGCCAGATTCACTTAAGAACCGTGCTACTAACTTAGCAACTGCAGTGGTTCACTTAACAACTGTGGCCAAAAGGTGGTAAAACGGGGCCAAACTCACTTAGCAAAATGTCTCACAGAAATTTGGAGCTCAATTGTGGTTCGTAAGTCGAGGACACCCTGTAATATAAAATACAGATAGAAGCAGAAGATAAAAAGGGGAAGAAGAAAAAGCAAAGTGGAGTGCAAAGCAAAAAGGAAAGAAAGCAAAATAACTTCCAACTATTTTCAGTGCCGTCAAATACAAAAGTTTACAACCTCAACTTTTTGCTTTATACATTTGGTAAGTGTTAGCCGTTTCTATGACAAACCTAATCTAATCATCAAAACCCAATCAATCATTCTGTTTTATTATGGTCACTGGCCAGCATTACCCATAAAAGAATTTAGACAATAAGAATAGTAAAAAAAATAAAAATAGAAGACACAAGCAGGATATTATATCGCAATTGGCGCTGGATTATCATTGGTCCGTTAAAGTTTGCTTAATTTTGCTTACAGCCTGAGAGAATTTGGCCACCTTTTTCAGCCCTGTCGAACACAAAACGCAGTTACAATCTCAACTTTTTTATTTGACATACTTCGTAAATAACAGCCATTTCTATAATAAACATAATTTAATTATCAAAAGCCAAAACCAAAGTTTGCTTTTTTTTTTTTTTGTTTTGTTTCAAGCATAAAGTCCAGAAGCTGTTTCTAAGTAGAAGCAAAACTGGATGCATTCTTTTCTTTAATTAAAACAGTTAAATTTTGCCATATCTTCCAGCTCCATCCGTTCTTCCATTGTGGGAATTAACGAATCTTTCCATTTTTGCACATGTAGAATTCTCACCGCAGTCAACATAATCATCGAGTTCCAAATTTTTTTCCCCAAGATCTTTCTTATTTTTTTTGTGGAATTTAGCCCTTTCGTTGTACTGCTGTGGATCGAGATAGCAGATGTTCCTCCTTTTTGAATGGCGTCTTTACGGCATGGACTATTTTGGGTTAAGATTTATTTTCCAGATAGTTTTTATGTATTAGGTTTTTATTTTATTTTATTTTTCCTCTCCAGCACACTGAGCCTGATAGAGCTTTGTTTACCACGTTCAGTAAGACTTTGTAATATAAAGGGAAGTGATTCATAGCATAAACCATTCCTCCCCCCCCAACCTCAAATTCTCAAAAAAATATTGGATTTCAACTCTTGCTACCCCAGGAGAGTGAAGCAGAAGCATCTTGATGTTTTGTTTTGTTTTTTAAGTCAAAATCCAACTTACAAATGCTTGTGCTTTTTAACAAGATGTGTTAGCAACCAGCTTCTTCTGGTTTTATGCCCCGAAGTTACACACTGCCTTCTTCCTACAATGTCTGTCACTCAGTTTGATGGGTTAATCAAAACGCTGTTATCAAGAAAAGGTATGGAAAACATAAGCCAGCAAGAAAATATCCCCGGGGCATGTATTTAGGGAGATAAATATTTGCCAAACGCAGCAGAGAAGTGAACTCCTCGCTGTCTTGAGACAAACTTGACAATCAACTTTCCTGCTTGTTTGGCTGAGCCCCTCGTGTCTGCTTCGGAATTCTTCCTTTCTCTTCTTAGGAAAAAAAACCCCAATCTTTTTTATCCCGGCCTTAAAAGCTTTTCGTATCCGGAGCATCTCCCTGCTGAGCCGCCCACATCAATCTGTCTGTCTCGGTTTAGGGACACTTTACTGACATGGGAAATGTCAAAGAGGAACACATAAGAGGGGCAATTTGCTGTTTTTTCCACCCACCTCCTCCTCCAACATCAAAGGAAGGGGAACTGTTGTTGTAGTTTGCCGGCAGCCTGTGCAGACAGCAGCGGACTTGGGACAATGGGGAAGAACAGGGACCAGTCAGGGAGTCTGGGGAGGACTCGGATGAGGGTCCTGCGTCCGATGCAGAGATGGGGCCAGGACTGTCTGGGAGTGGGGTGCTGACTCCAGAGCCTCTGGAGTCTGGCAGCAGCGAGGAAGAGGACCCAGGGGAGCCTGTTCCCAGTGTGCGTGTGTGCAGAGCTGCTAGAAGGCGAGAACAGCTGAGAGAAAAGGGGCGACTCAGGAGTAAGGCTGGGAGGTGATTGCCCCTCCCCATAAGGGATAAAAGTCAGGCCAAGATGACGAAACCTTTGCAGGAAGCAAAGTCGTTCGTTCGGTTCAGATTCATTCTTGAAGCTCTTTGTACTTCGGTTGGTTTTTCTTCCTAGTTCATTTGACACTTCTGTTGTTGGCAGCACTTCACAGGAAAGGAAGGTGGGTGCTTATCTCGAGGGACTGTTTGAGATTCATTACCAGCTGGGAATGAAAACAATTCCCAGCGTTGCAATAAAACAAGGCTTGTTTTTAAAATAAGCGTGTGCTTAATTACGGCCTCGGAAGCCTTGGTCAGAACAACCATCAGACCTGGATAGTTCTTGATTTACGGATGAAAGCCTTACATACGACTCCTCTGAGTTGGGTCAAGAAACCTTAGGAATATTCTTTGAAAGGGCCTGTTTAGCAAGTCAGTTCTAGTAGAAGTAGTTCTCAATATACAAGCACAATTGAGCCCAGAACTTCAGTTGCTAAGTGAGACATCAAGTGAATTTTGCCCTATTTTAACAACCTTTCTTGCATTGTTAAGTGAAACGCTGCAGCCGTTCAGTGAGTCACACGATCGGTAAGTGAATCCCCCTTCCCCATTGCTTGTCAGAAGGTCGCAAAAGGGGATCACGTGACCTGCGACCGTCATACATACGAATCGGTTGCCAATCCTCTGAATTTTGATCACGTGACCATAGGCAGGTTGAATGGTTGTAAGGGTAAGAAAAAAACGGTCATGTCACTTTTTTTCCCAGTGCCGTTTTAACTTCGACCGGTCACTAAATGAACCGCTGTAAGTTCAAGGACTACCTGTATCGGAGCGCAACAGGTAATTCTGATGAACCGATATTCTGTTGCCGGCGAATCTTACATCTCCAATGGCAAAGAAGAAATAGAAAAGAATAGTTGATGGCCAGTGGTGGGATTCAATTTTTTTTTACTACTGGTTCTTTGGGCGTGGCTTAGTGGGCGTGGTATGGCTTGGTAGGTGGGGCTTCATGGGCGTGGCAGGGGAAGGATACTGCAAAATCCCCCTTCCCTCCCCACCCCACTAACCTGCTTTCCAGCTCCATTCTCCTGTGCAAAATCCCCCTTCCCTCCCCACCGCACTAACCTGCTTTCCAGCTCCATTCTCCTGTGCAGGGCAACCAGAGGAGAGACAGCCAATCAGCTGGGACTTGGGAGGCAGAGAATAGATGGGGGCGGGGCCAGTCAGAGGTGGGAATGGCCAGTTCTCCGAACCACTCAAAATTTCCACTACCGGTTCTCCAGAACTGGTCAGAACCGGCTGAATATACCGCCTCTGTTGATGGCTAACCTCCATTTAAGCCAGGGGGGTCCAATTTTGGCAACTTTAAGGCCTTTGGACTTCAACTCCCAGAATTCCCCAGCCTGCCTGAATTTCCTTTTGCTAGCCCTGTTAAGGGCTGTTTTTCAGGTTGCTGATGGGCTGGTATGTTTTATGCACATTTTGTCTCAAACAAAATTACCGGTAAGGAACAGTTGCCCCTTCTCTCAGACGCCGTGGCAAGTCGCCAGGATAAACCCAAATTCTTTTTCCCATTTGGTTCTAATCCCGATTTACATTTCCCCAAACGTGAATCAGCCATTCATGGATTTATTTTCTGTTTGCGGGGAAACTTGTGTGGTTGCATCAATGGCTGTTACAAACTCTTAATGAGATACAAATCATTTGTTGGGTTTTTTTTAAAAAAAACAACAACAACAACAACATTTTTCTTTTCTCACAATGAGCAAATTGCCATCCGGTATTAAGGGAGTAAATCCAGTACTGTAATTTACAGCTGTTTATGAATTGATATATTCATTAGTCTCCGAAGTGCCCGGAGCTTGTTGTTTTCATATTTAAAGCGTTTTTAAATCTCTCCGGTAGTACGTATGACAGCTGGGCTTGCTGCAGCTTATAAAATCTTCAAACATTTTTGCCACGTGGTGAACGAAACTGAAGCAGGATTGGGAATAGCAAACACGGGATAGAACAAATTAACCCACTAATAAGCACACTAATTTCTACTCCCTCGTTAACCCGAAGAAGGTAAAATGGTAAATGGAACGAAATATTCAGGACAGAATGTGCTTTATAGACACCCTAACTGTCATGCCCCTGTTGGAGTCTGACTCCGAGGGAGAGGAGGAACGCCTGACAGGGAGTGGAAGTGTGGCTCTGGATGTTGTGGAGGAAATTCAGAGAAAGACCCAGGCCCGTCTCTTCTTCATCCTAGGGCACGCAGGGAGGAACGGATAAGGGAGAAACGTGAATGGCGTGGTCTATGGGGGAGGAAAGGGCCCTGATCCCCTTCATGGGCTGCAGCTATGAGGACTGTTTAAAAGGACAAACTGCGCATGGCCCAGTGCTGGAAGCAAACCATGAAATAATTCTAGTCTGTCAATTCTTAACTGAGTTCTGGCGTCCTTCCCAGTGTGTGTATTTCGATATCTGTGGACGTCTCCAAGCCCTTATCCTGCCTTGTCTCATTAATTGCTATGGTTTGTGTTGTTTTTTCTATTTCTAATTTAGATGTATTTTGAGTTTGAATGGCATTTCCTCCTTTTCGCAACTGTTTGTGGGGGAGTTTTTTTTCTCCAGTCAATGATAATTGGAGCTTTGAAGCCAAGTTGAAGGAATTAAAAGGGACTTCACCTGTTTTTGTGACTTTGTTGCTTTTGTATCCCACCCTGGGTCATCACACTAACTGATGTTTTCCACTGTTCCTGTTCGTCTTAGGGCAAAGGAGTACGAGAACGGAATGGAGTCCAAAAATGTCTCCTGTGAGTCTCCGTACAAAGCAAAGTAAGTCCTTCATCCGGATGGAAGCTTTGCCCGTCAGATTTGCACCCAGAACATCCGAGCAGAGCCCTCTTGTGTGCAGGATAGCCCGTCCCATTCTGGTACCTTTAGCTTTGGAGGTCTGCAGCTCCTACAATGGTAGAAAGGAACCGTTTCGCTGAATCAGCCACAGGATTGTGAGTGGCTCCATTTCAAAGCTATAGAACTTAGGTTCCTAGGGATGGAAGGGGCCTCGGAGGTCTTCTAGTCCAACCCCTTGCTCCAGGCAGGAGACCTTATACAATCCCAATCAAAGGATTGTTCTTGGAAACCTCCAGTGATGGAGCACCTACAACTTCAGGAGGCAAGAAGTTCCATTGATTAATCCAGAGGTCTCCAAACTTGGCAACTTTTAAGACTTGTGGACTTCAACTCCCAGGAATTCTGGGAGTTGAAGTCCACAAGTCTTAAAAGTTGCCCAAGTTTGAGGACCCCTGGATTAATCATTCCGTCAGGAAATTTCTCCTTCATTCCAAGTCAGGTCTCCTTTTGACAAGTTTCCATCTGTTTCTTCTCGTCCTGCCCTCTGGTACTTTGGAGGAAAGTTCTTTGTGGCAGCCCTCCCCAAATTTGGGGAAACTGCTATCATGTCCCCCCCAATCCTTTCCTTCATTAGACTAGACCTACCCAGTTCCCTCAGCTGCTCATCACACGATTTAGGGAGAACAGATAAATAAACAGACGACTGGAAGGGAAAGAAATGGAGTTGATATAATTATGGATTGGTAGTCGTCAACGTACATTATGGTCGTAAGTCACAATGGTCTTTAGGTGAGTCATCACGGGATTGAGCCAGTTTCATGACATTTTTTTGTAGCAGTTGCTCAACCCATCAGACATGTCGGTCATAAAGTGAGCCCTTTGTTCACTGTGGTCCAGGACATAAAAATCTCCCCCACTGATTTTCCTGGTCTTCCTCTTGTTATCCCTCCATCCTGCATCCATCAACCTTGCTTAGTCTTAGGTTTTGCTTTCTTGCTTGTTTTTGATCCAATAAAGCATCCATTGCCTTTCTTTAAACTTTGGTGCAGAATTCCTCCTTCGATACTTAAGGTAAAAAGTAAAGGTTCCCCTCGCACATCCGTGCTAGTCATTTCCAGCTCCGTTACAAAGCCGAAGAAGAGCCAGCGCTGTCCAAAGACGTCTCCGTGGTCAGGTGGCCGGCGGGACTAAACACCGAAGGAGCACAGAACGCTGTTCCCTTCCCACCAAAGGTGGTCCCTGTTTTTCTACTTGCATTTTTTTAACATGCTTTCGAACTGCTAGGTTGGCAGAAGCTGGGACAAGGAAATGGGAGCTCACTCCGTAACGGGCGCTAGGGATTTGAACCGCCGAACTGCCGACCTTCCTGATCAACAAGCTTAGCATCTGAGCCACCGCGTCCCTCTGAATATTGAAACTCCCCTCTAATTCCTCAGTGGGCCTGTTTTGGCCACTGTCCTTGGTACACTCCTAACCTGAGTTTCTCGTTGAATGGGAAGATGGTTTCCCATTTTTGTCTTTGGGGCGGAAAAAGTTTAGGATATGCTGTGGGCCATTGGATGATTTAAAAGAGAGAGACAGAAAAAAAAACTTGCAGCCCGGCCCTTCAGGGAGAGACATAACAAGAGAGCCAGTCGGATAAGAAGCTAAATTGCCTTTATGGAACAAAACAAGAAAGAAAATAAACTTTGCATCTAGCTTTACCCTTTCCAATGTACACAGTAATTGTAGTGCTGATTAAAGGCAATGTTGCAACCAATTGTAAATGTAAATACTCTTACACAGCTTGTTGTTGCCACTATAAATATTGACAAATCTAAAGATGGTTGGCGTAGCAAAAAGAGACAGAGAGAAAGAGAGAGAGAGAGAGGCTCGCATACCCAGAAGTCATGAGCTAGTATAAAACTGCCTCCTTTAGATGTCAGTATTACATAAATTACATTTATGCTGGGTGGTTTTGCCCATCTGACTAGAAGATTTAAGAAGAATGGAGCCAAGTCTTAAGCTGTCCTTCTCTTGATGCTCTCTTGCCCCCAGAACAGGAATATGATCTCTCTGGCAGTTGCCCACATCCAACTGAAGTATAGTTCCTAGAGTGTCCATAATCATGGAAGATATGTTGATAGAGTCATCTTCCACCCAATTCCCTTTTCTTCCCTTGGCTTGACTTCTTACAGGTAGAAGAGAAGTCTGTTTCAGATCTTATGGTGGAAGTGTCACTGGTGGCCTCTTCCAGATCTGAAGGTGGAAACATCTTCTTTGTAGACCTTTTGGAGCTTACGAATTCTTCAGGGGAGCAGGTCCACTTTCCATTTCTTTTACAATTTGGCATCTACCTGCATTTCCAAATTTTGGAAAGAGGTGGAAAACCTCACAGAACATCCTGGAAGTCTCATTTTGGTTTCAACCTTGGGGGAAAAAAACCCCTTCTAAATAAAAGAGATTTAAAACTTTTTTTAAAAAAAAAACTCCATCGCCATCAATCAGATAGCAAGGTTGGATATCAATCAAATAAATGCACGCAAAATAAACTTCTCACACATCCTGAAACTTGACAAGAGGTTCTGAGTTCCCATCAATTGTCACCAAAGAAGAGACTGGAAGCAGGAAATAAGATTCACTTCCCTGAGCCAACAAACAGCTCAGTCCAACGTTCACCTCAATCTGGGCCAAGAACTTGAGCAATACGGTCAGACATGAAGTAATCAAAAGGAAAGGTAATTTTATATTCTGTACCGAGCCAGGAAAAGAACGAAGAAGACGGTTTTACGATGAGTCTTAAAAAGAAATGAATGGGAGGAAAAATGTAAAAACATAGAATTCCATTTGACTTGATTAGAGCTGGAAATAGGTTTCTAAAGCCAGAAAGTAGACTTGTCTCTTGAAAACTAAACGATCGGCCTTACAAAATGCTTGCTAGTGACAGGAAGGTTTTCTTTTTTTAAACCAAAAACAAAAAGGCCTCAGTTTTTGAATAAAACCATTTTAGAAAATAAACATTGCTTCCAAGCCAGTTTATAGTTGTTATGATAGAAGTCGTGGTTCTAAGTGCATTAGAACCACTTCCCGCCGTTCTGTAGATCTCTTAGGAGTGCAAATACACTGAATTCCTCATTAAAGTGGAGGAAACAAACTTTTTTTTTTAAAAAAAAAAGATGCAGCTTATTTACCTGCTCTTCTTTGCTGACTTTGTTTAGTAGTTTCCTTAAGAGCCATTACTATTTAATTTACATTATTTCTATTATTTGATGCTACTCTCTCTGCTTCCCATATTCTTTGAAATTGCCGCTTTGAAATGCAGTGATTGATACATCATTTTAAAATTGCTTTTTTTCTTTTTCTTTTGCAAAATCAGTGCTAACCCATTCCATGATAGATTATTATTATCTTTTTGCTAGGCCCAACCATCCTACAAGCCAGGAAAAGAAACAGGATGTTCTCTAGCTGCCTTTTATTTTTACATTGGCTTGTGAAACTCCGTTTGGCTTAAGGACGGAACGCTTTCACTGGCTCCCGGGCGCTGTTGCACAATGACTCTAGATCAGGGCTCCTCAAACTTGGCAACTTTAAGACTTGTGGATTTCAACTTGTGGAGTTGAAGTCCACAAGTTTTAAAGTTGCCAAGTTGGAAGACCTCTGCTGTAGATCATCTCTGCCATGCACAGAATCGAAACGAGTGGGATGTTGACGTTTTTGCGTGTGGTGACAAAAACTTTTCATGGGACCTTATGAGATTTTTTGGGGGTGGGTGAAGGAGATTCTCCCCCAAAGATTTCTTAGCTACTGGCCAGGGGCTCTGGTTCTACTCCAACTTGCAGCTTCATTCATGTATTATTTAATTTATGTAGCCATCCAATTCACATATCCGGGTAGCCTACTTTTTTTTTTAATCCACCATGTGATAAAACCCCATAAAACACCTCCACCCCACCTCCCATGGTAGCACCAACACAATCAAATCAGCCACCCGATGGGCTCCATCTCCATTCGTGGTCCCCAGGCCCACTGACAAAACCATGTTTTTAAGACCTTTCAGAAAAACAACAGGGAGGAGGCCAACCTTACCCTGGAAGGAAAGATGTTCCATAAAGAAGGGGTCACCACCGAGAAGGCTCTTTTTTTGTGGTCCCACCAGATGACAAGTTTTGGGATTTCCAGCAGGAGTTTTTCCTTGCTTGAAAATAACTTAAGGCAAGGCTGACTCCCAACTATGGTTCTTTCCTTCCAGATTCTGCTTGGTAATGGCCAGTCTAATTCCTGTCTGCCTTTCCTCTGTTTTGAAAGTTATTGTTAAAAGTGCTGAGGAATATTATTGTGTAATAATATATGGTATAAGTGTTGTACCTGATGATTCTTGACTCTTGAGGAGTGTATCTTTTCTTTTATGTACACTGAGAGCATTTGCACCAAAGACAAATTCCTTGTGTGTCCAGTCACACTTGGCCAATAAAAAATTATATTCTACTCTACTCTACTCTACTCTACTCTACTCTACTCTACTCTACTCTACTCTACTCTACTCTATTCCTTCTAATATTTATTCTTTTCTATTCTATTCTATTCTATTCTATTCTATTCTATTCTATTCTATTCTATTCCATTCCATTCCATTCCATTCCATTCCATTCCATTCTATTCTATTCTATTCTATTCTTAGTGTTGTACCTGATGATTCCTGACTCTTGACGAATGTATCTTTTCTTTTATGTACACTGAGAGCATTTGCACCAAAGACAAATTCCTTGTGTGTCCAATCACACTTGGCCAATAAAAAATTCTATTCTACTCTACTCTACTCTACTCTACTCTACTCTACTCTACTCTACTCTACTCTACTCTATTCCTTCTAATATTTATTCTATTCTACTCTACTCCACTCTATGCTACTCTACTCTACTCTATTCTATTCCTTATTCTATTCTATTTCTTATTCTATTCTACTCTGCTCTACTCTATTTTATTCTATTATATTCTATTTTAAATTCCATTCCATTCCACTCCACTCCATTCCATTCCACTCCATTCCATTCCATTCCATTCTATTCTATTCTATTCTATTCTATTCTATTCTATTCTATTCTATTCTATTCTATTCTATTCTATTCTATTCTATTCTAATATGATATAGTCTTCCACAGGCAAACCTAGGAATAGCCAAAGACTTCCGCAGAGAGTCAGTTTGTGCCCATCCTCTCCCATGCCCATTTACCTAGGAGGAGTCCCATGGAAAACTATCCACCGTAAACGTACCCAAGACGTGGTACTGATTGTCTCTTTTTAATCATTGCACAGTGAAGATGGTCTCACTGAAATATTACTGGAATGTAACTTTCCCAGTTCTGAATGCTATTTCCTCCTCCCTCCCCCCTTTTTTTTCTTGAAAGGCTACAACGATTGGTGAAAGATTTGCTGAAGCAGCTTCAGATTCAAGATGGTAGCAAAATCTCCGCTCTGGATAGGATTCTGGGAGATATTTCACGCATCCTGGAAAAAGAGGTAACTTTTCTTGCTCAATCATGTCACTTTCCTTGCTCAATCATGTCGTGCCCTTCGATGCAACTCTTAATTCCTGATTCTTCCCATGCATGCAACTCTTGGCTGAAGATTCACAAATCTGTTGAGTTTCTTGGATCCTCTTGGTGGCTTGGTTCACAAGATCACATAGGCCACGAGCCATAGTTTGCAAGCCGCAAACTGGCTGAATTTCCACTTTGCCGTAAGCCACAAACAAGCCAACACTCAGGAGAAGCACAGTCAAATTCTGAATATTCGTTATTATGCTGAAGGTATTTGAAATTGTGAGGTTAATGAATGGAAAAGATTAGAAAGTTAAAGTAGGCCGATGTGCCATTCTGTATTTCTTTCCCAATGTTGCTTTAAAGTAGACTCTTGACTATAAATACAGGGGAAACATTATTTTTATCCAGCTAATGTTAATTAGATTAATGTGATAAAATCAATTTCTCCATTAAATGCATTATTCTAAAACATTAATGGAAACTTTTTATTTCTTTCACAAATTTAATACTCTACAGTTGTTTCAATTAAATCAACACCGCAAACCCTTTAATGCCAGATAGGGAGATATTCCATTCCCCTCCCCCAAATAATTAAATTAATTGCTTTTCCAAAATCAACACATCAGGCTCCCAACAGTGTTTGCAGAGTCTGACACCCAAATGCCAGAATTTTACATATTCAGTATGCTCTCTATCAGTGTTTCCATTTTATTGCCTATATTTTCTGATTTTTGTTTAATCTCTGGGAGAGAGCTCTTTATCTTTTTCCACAGTCAGTTTTGTTTTTAATGAAATTGCATTAAAGCAAATGATTAGCATGCTAAAACTGATGAACCAGTTAAAGGTTGGTTCTATCGCTTGACATAAAATGTGCTGTACAATTACGTTTTGAAGGAGATTCTGATTTTTAAGACAGCCAGCTTTTATCTGGCTGAAATGTCCTTCTGAAATGACAGGATTATTACTGGTTGAAATCATCACTAAAATGAGAAGCTTGCATAATTAAAATCGCAGCAGCTCTTCATAACTTTCAAAATGATGGATTGAGGAGGAAGTGTTCCTATTAACTTTGGAAAAAGGAGGGATAAATGTACTGGAGGACATGTTCCCTTCAACATTTTTCCATCCAATTTTAATTTGTTGCCCTTAAAGTCTTTGCCATCTTTAACAACACTGTTGTGAGAATCCTTAACACCTTAAAACCATGCCCTCCTCCTTAAAACCAACTTCACGTTGATTGAGTTGAACAGGTTCTTCTGTCTATTGATTGAAAATGAATTTAAAATTGGGTTTTGAGTATCAGGAAAATAAGATCAACTTTGTGCAACTTATCAGCAACTTAACATGTGTGTGCCATTACTACAAGTAAACAGAATTTAAACAAGAGATTTGACCAGGAATTCCTCTGCCCTCCTCCTAATTATGCAGCCTCTTTTTAAAAAATATCCAGCCAGGCTGCTGCTCCTAACTGGCAGGATGTCACACACAACCCTTCCTAAGTGAGTTCAAATCTGCCAAAGTTTATAAGCCGGTGGAAGTTAGAAGGCAAAATGCTTCCTGACCCGTGCCGCCAAGTGTAATGTGGTACAATATCAGATTCTGACAAAGCCAGCCTCCGTTTGGGTTCATTGAAATGCGAATACCAGAAGCGGTAGAAGAAAAATAAATAAGGAACAATCTGGCTGAAAGATTTGGGTTAGGTGACATCCATCACAAGGTCTCACCCGATTCTTCTCTGGAAAAGGAGGCCATGATGCATCTCGCTGGAAGATCCCTGTGGGAGAAAAATGAGAAAAATCACACAGCTTTAGGAGCGTTCAGCTCAAACTTATTTGATAGCCCATCTATGGCTTTCTACACGAAAGGGAGGAGGAGGAGGAGGAGGAGGAAGGGGGTGAGGAGGAAGGAGAGGAGGAAGGAGGAGAAACTTGGATAAGAGGAAGAAAGAGGAGGAGGAGGAGGAGGGAGGAAGTGGAGGAAAGAAGAAGAGAAGGAGGAAGTAAAATAAAAAGAACAAGAAGAGGAGGAAGAGGAAGAATTCCCCATCTTGATTTGAACAAACCAATTCCCACAGCATCTCATGCAAAAAACAAAAAAACAAAAAACTGGCTTTAAAAATACTGTTTCCCTTCTTTTGATGGTTCTCTTCATTTTTTTCATCTTTAATGAAGTTTCTTTTCATTCTGCATAATCTTTTGCAATATTTTTACGCCATCCACCCAGAGTAGCCAATGGAATAAAATAGTTTAAAGTGGATTAAATTATATCACCGGTTAAAAAGCTACCATTAGGTTTGACCTGGGAAGGAGTGTGTGTTTGTGTGTGTGTGTGTCTGTTTAAAGGAAACAAAACCCAAATTTTATGCAGCTTGCAACACTTCTGTAACTCAAAGGTTTATTGGGATAGAGCTGACCCTGTAATAGGACCGTGGCTTTAGTATAAATAATTTAAATCTTATACAGAAGACAAACTGTTCTTTAGGCCTCGGGGTGGATTAGGATAAGCAAACATATGTACAATATTACAAATATATGTTCTTAATTGGCCCCTGTAAGGCGAGGGTGTGTATATATTTTAACAGGAAAACATAGATTCTTGTTACTAGCATTGATATCCATCAGCTAATAGAAAAACAGATATGGATTTTCCCAGGGATTGCTATAAACATGAACTTTAAATGTTTTTTCAAACAAGCCTGTGGTTTAATCAAACCTGTATTTTCCCCCTTATCGCCAAGAGATATCTGTCTTTCAGTTGTACAGTTGGAAGTAGCATAGATTGTATTTCTGATTCTTTCTGTAATTACACCATTGCTAATTGTGTCGTAATACAGTAACCTAAACAAACATTTATTGAATTTTCTTCGCAAATTCACCGCAAGTTGTACTATTACAAGGAGACATTGGGTAGTGAATACATAGAGCAAACAACATCGGTAAATAACGCTATTGACTTTCTTTTGTTTAAAAAAAATTACAGCCTTTTTTCCCGTCTAAATAGACTGAATAAATTAGCAACCTGGACTTGAGAGAAAAATCAGTCGGGTATTACATACAGTAAAATAAAAATCACAAATTGAAAAGCAAAGTTCTTATATCCAGTAACAAAAATAAATTCACCAAAATTTTAATCCTTACAATAAATAAATAAATAAATAATGCTGGGGACAAAATAACTTTTTGAAAATAATTCCATCAGTTTGATATCCAGCAGTTGCATTGTGGCACAGCTCCCATCATGCCCCAATTTATGACCTTCTGATTAGGAAGATGGGATGTGTATTCCAACACATGGCTCTCAAGACTCTGAATTCTTTTTTCCCCCCCAAGATTTGTTTTTACTCAGTGTCAAAAAGGCTGGATGGGTCATTTCACTGATGGTTAAAATGAAGATCTCTACACACAAACTCCACATAATTCTTAAGTTTTATATGGCACATTTTTCTTTATGTTCTTCTAAGTCAATGTATACATATAGCCATAGAGAGACAACCTTCAAAACCATGGGAGATAGCTGGGCTACATTGACCCAACAATCTTCTTAAGTCTGGTTGTTATCACACAAGTTTCATTCCTAACAGGTTGGGGAAAACTGGTGTTGGGATAAGATTCAATGGGTCTTTAAACAGGGGGTTCTGGGAGTTGAAGACCCAACCATCTTAAAATTGCTGAGGTTGAGGAACACAGAACTACGTAGACCAGAGAAGCTGCTTTCCAGGTTTTTGTGATGTATGACAGAGATGTCTGGTTTGCTTCTTCCCAATAGGAAGCCCAGAACAAGCTAGGTTTTTATTTCATGGAAGCTTGGAATTTCTTCTATTGCATGACTCCAGGTCTTCTTCCCAAAGAGAACCATTTTCAGACTTCCATGTGGACAAGGCAGGCTTCTGCTCCTCCTCCTCTGCTTCTTCTTCCTCCTCCTCCTCCTCCTCTTTTTCCTCCTTCTCTTCCTCCTCCTGCTCCTCTTCTTCCTCCTTCTCTTCCTCCTCCTTTTCCTGCTTCTCTTCCTCCTCCTCTGCTTCTTCCTCCTCCTCCTCCTCCTCTTTTTCCTCCTTCTCTTCCTCCTCCTGCTCCTCTTCTTCCTCCTTCTCTTCATCCTCTGCTTCTTCCTCCTCTTCCTCCTTTTCTTCCTCTTCCTCCTCCTTTTCCTCCTCTTCCTCCTCCTTTTCCTGCTCTTGTTCTCCTCTTCCTACTCCTCCTCTTCTTCCTCTTCCTCCTTCTCCTCTTCCTCTTTCTCCTCCTCCCCTTCTTCGCTTTTTCTTCCTCTTCCTCCTCCTCTACCTCCTTCTCCTTGCCCTCCTCTCCTCCTCCTCTACTTTTTCTTCCTCCTCCTCCTCCTCCTCCTCCTCCTCGTCCATCTTTCTCCTTAAGCATTTGTCCGCCAGCCCTGAAGTATCATTATTCCTGTCTGTCCTAATCAATAGGGTCAGGGGAGATGGATTTCCGCAGCTGCCATGCTGTCTTCTGACACAGAGCATCCATAGTCATTTCCAGAAGCCGGCTGTAATTCTCTTGTTAAATCACGAGTCGAGAGAGAAATCCGTAGACACACGGCGGCTTGCTTGTCGGGAGATGGGTGGGGGAGAGAGAAGGATCAGTTTTGAGAGTGTCAGTTTTCCTGAGGAGAGGAGGAGAGGGAGACTGTTAATTGAATTTCCCCCAGGAGCATCAGAAGAAAAAAAAAGAGAGAGAGAGAGAGAAAAATAAACCCCAGACCCCCCAACCCTTACAACAAAGCCAGGAGGCGGGAACTGTCATTGCAGAAAAGCTGCTTACATTGATTTAACTTTGCTAATGGTCGGGGTTGAACAAGGAATTGCCCCTGGGGAAAAGAGGATCTCTCTCTGTCTCCTTCCCCACCCCCACACACTCAAAACCTGTCCCTCTTAGCTTCTTCTTTTTTAAAAAATAAGGAAAGAACCCAATTGGTACAAGCCCAGGAGCGCTTGCTTTAAAAAAATATATAACATGGGCATGG